CCCCCGCAGAAGCTGCCATGGCCACCGCTCAGGCGGCGGTGGAGGTGGCAAGGTTGACCAAACCTGCTAGCCATGTTGGGGAGCATCGTGCTGCTGTTACCATTCAAACTGCTTTCAGAGGGTATCTGGTGAGTGCCCTCGACAGATCTGAATTGTGAAAATGAGAAGCACCTACTAAGGTTGGTTAATTAAGTAATCTGAATGAGATTTGTTTTGTTTTTTGGCTTGTAGGCAAGAAGGGCACTTCGTGCACTTAAGGGGTTGGTGAAGTTGCAAGCCTTAGTTAGAGGGCACAATGTTAGGAAGCAGGCTAAGATGACCCTTAGGTGCATGCAGGCTTTGGTTAGAGTTCAGGCAAGGGTCCTTGACCAGCGTATAAGGTCTTCACTTGAAGGTAGTAGAAAATCAACTTTCAGTGATACTGCTAGTGTTTGGGACTCAAGGTATCTTCAGGACATTTCGGATAGAAAATCAATGGTAAGTCAGAGTTTCCTTGATTAAACTAGTGTTATCAGTGATCATTGATCATACTTTGTGTACTTTTTTCTTGCTTCGAGAATCAGAAGTTATGTATGAAAAACAGGAAAGAAAAAAGTACTTTTTCTTAGCCAAAAAGCAAATGAATAGTCCTCATTCTCTTATTCTTAATCAAGCAACAGTTGGCAAAAGGGGGTTTTGTTTTCTGTGTGTCTTAATTGTTTGCTGTGGTTGATTTGGTAGTCAAGAGAGGGAAGCAGCATTGCAGATGACTGGGACGAACGTCCTCACACGGTTGAAGAAGTGAAGGCCATGTTGCAGCAGAGGAAGGAAGCTGCAATGAAGAGGGACAAGAACTTATCCCACGCCTTCTCCCAACAGGTTTTGACCCTCTTCAAGTTTTTACAAATTCTTGAAATTGAACTAATTTCCTTGACTTGGTTTGGCTAATTGGTTGTCAAGTGTCTTCTATTGTTTCTTGAAATTGAACCCGTGTCAGTCTGTTTAAATACAAACTTGTACGAGTTTTTTAAAGTTTCTCTACTGGAAAAATTCTTTATTTTTGATAGAGAAGCTCTTCTATGCTTATATATAAACAATCTTTTAATTTCCTTGACTCAGTTTGTTTAATTGATTGTGAAAATTCCCCTTGAGTTGGTTTGCTAATTGATTGTGATACATAGATATGGAGGAATGGTAGGACATCATCAATTGGAAATGAAGATGAGTTAGAAGAGAGACCAAAATGGCTAGACCGGTGGATGGCCACAAAGCCATGGGAGAATAGAGGAAGGGCTTCAACTGATCAAAGAGATCCCATTAAGACTGTGGAGATTGACACCTCTCAGCCTTATTCATATCTAGCAACCAACTACAGAAGATCACATCCTAATTATCAATACAATCCACACCATCACCAACCACAAAGGCATTCCATTGCCTCCCCAATCCATAGATCTCACCAAAACGGTTCCCTTCAATCCCCAGCAACTCCTTCTCCTGCCAAGTCAAGGCCTATCCAAATCCGGTCGGCGAGCCCACGATGCATTAGAGAAGACAGAAGCTACCACACCTCACAGACACCGAGCTTGAGGTCTAACTACCACTACACAGGAAGCTTGTACCAAAATGGAAGGGTTGGAACAAGCAGTGGTAGTGGCAATGGTGGTGGTGCTACATTGCCTAATTACATGGCGGCAACCGAGTCTGCGAAGGCTCGAATCCGGTCACAAAGTGCGCCTAGGCAGAGGCCATCCACACCAGAGAGGGACAGGGTTGGATCAGCCAAGAAAAGGCTTTCTTTCCCAGCTCCTGATCCTTATAGTGTGGGAGCGAGTTATGGAAATTATGGTCATAGTTTGAGGAGTCCAAGCTTCAAGAGTGTGAGTGGATCACACTTTGGGTTGGAGCATCAGTCCAACTACTCATCTTGCTGCACTGAGAGTATTGGTGGTGGTGAGGTTTCTCCTTCTTCAACCGGTGACCTTAGAAGGTGGTTGAGATGATTTGTTGCACACTTTAATGAGAACATGATTAGGTCATGGCATTTGAATATTTTGTGTGATGTTAGAGTTAATTTTAGTTTAACCCTTTCTCACCCCAAAAGAAAGAGTTACCCCGGGTGACCTGAATCTGACGTTAGGAGCAGAGAAGCAAGTACTTTTCTTGCTAGGAAACTCAGAACAATTTAATGTGTTCGTTTATCATTCGTTTTTCATACTTTTGTTAAGATGCCAAGAAAAAAGTGAGCCGTATGTGGTGGCCTACCTCACTTGGGATGTTATGTTGATGTTGAAAGAATTGCCTACACCATCTGAATAGCCTTTAATGGACTGTCCTGTCACAATAACATGTAATATTTTCGTATTTTAGTGATTGCCTTTAATTAGCATAGCAAAATGTACCATAATAATGGATAAATTGCACATCGCTAGCTAGAGCAATTCATATAATAATGGGTGTACTTCACAATTAGCATATACTTAAACTCTTGCCCATGTCATATTCTTTGACCTTTATATCATGTTACGTACGTACTTGTGCAGTGCTTCATGTCAATACTGGAATGTGAAATTGAAAGTTTTCATATAAGCTCCTCTTTTCCCGTTCTGTACATCATCAATATTTATTGTATATAGGCCCACATTTGAAACTAAGGTTAAAATGTGAAGATAATTAACTATATAGACAATAGAACTTTCCTGCATGTGAAGGAGGAGATCAACGTTTTGGTCAGGTTTTGAACACTATTATTTGCTCACGGCCATGAAACTTTTTCAGGTTGCTACTTGGCTTGCAGCGTAAAAAGGGTAAAAGTAGATATGCTTGGGCATTTAATGAGAAGAGATCATAAACTATGTCTTACGTTCTGTGGTATTGAACCACAGAATCTTTTATTCCCTAACTCCTGTGCTTTATGTGGTGATCAACATTGTGCTGTTCTGCGAGACTGAAGAGCGTTTCTAGCAGTTTTAAATTATTATAAAAAAAAATTGAAAATAGCTTATGGAATTTATTTTAAAAAAGATAAAGAATAAGTTGCGTTATTTACTATTTGGAGATGCTCTGAACAGCTTATTGCATCGTTACACAGGAGTCCAGCTGGACAGCCTTTGTTCACTGAAACTCATAATCAGAGGTTTCTTGGAATTATAAGCATTTTGGGTCCCATCCTACTGAACACTAGTTGTTAGGTGCTGGAAGCAACTTATGCTCATGGGGTGTATCTAATATCTAATACATATTAGTACACATTCCATTGTTACTCAAAATAAAGTTTTGCACAACCAGTTCTTTTCTTAGTATCAAGAATGATGCACATAAAAAATAATTAGCTTGTTATTCATAGAGTTGTGAAAACGGGTAATCCGGGGTCCACCTTGATCCATCATGGATCGGATAATAAGTAGACTAATATGACTTAATTCATCTTATGGTAAGTTAAAAAAAAAAAACTATGAATCGGTGGATTAATGGGTTAAACGAATTGATATACTTAAATTAAAAAAAAATAAAAATAAAAATAAAAAATAATTAAATTTTATAAAATTATATATTATAATCTTATATTTTGAAATTATAATTATTAATAATTTGATATAAAATGTATAAAAAAATGACACCAATTACAATTAACTTAATCAATTTATAATATCAAATAATATCAAAGTTATTAACATGAAATATTGATAAATAATATCAAATTGACATTAATTATCATAATTCACAACTAGTTTATAAAAAATTAGTTAATGATATAAATGTATAATCACATAAATTAACATTTGAAAATCTAAAATAAATAATAAAGTATGTTAGATGAATTAACCCATGAGCCAACTTGACTCATCATGGATTAGTTCATGGTGAGTTGGTCTATAAGTAGATCAAGTTAAATTTTTCTTATAACTAAAATTGACCTATTTTTTTTAGCCTAAATCAACTCAAACCTATGGTGACCCAAATTGATTCACATGTTCATGCTCATTTTGACTACTTTAATTATTCATGAGAAATTATTTTTTTCATAAAATATGCAGGAAGACCTTGAAAGCAAAATGGACATCATATCATATTTTGATCATATAGTTTATCTTTCAATATTAGAAAAATAAAATCTATAATTTCAAAAAAAAAAATTTAGTTCAGAACTTTAGTGATTGACAGGAGAAAAATAAGCTAACTAATAAGAATAATGAATTTTTTTGGAAAACCACTCCTAGGAAGAGAAATTATTAGATAATCTTGAAATATTATAATTTTTATTTTCACAACATCTAATAAAGTATTGTCAATAATTAACTATAATTAATTATAAAATTTAAATATTTTAAAGCAAAAGTTTGTTAGTTAGACTACTTACTAACATTTTATTCTAACGAGAGACATGTTTGGTTTTATTACCTTGAGAGAAAATTTATTTATTTTTATTGTTTCTTAATAAAATTTTTATTAGAAAACAATTTGATCGAACACAAAATAACACAACCTAGACATACAATATGTATTTCTTTGCGAGTTATGAGGTCTCTTTGATTTCAAGCTGGTTGACCACTTGACCATAAATGTTCTGTTTTTAATGAAGTTTTCCGCTATATTTTTCATCTGAATTTTGCACCAAAATCAAATTGGATTCACTTTAAGGTGGTTGGGAGTAAAGATGATTTCATTAGTGATATTCGATTCAAGTAGTGATAATAACTTCGAAGTACATAACTCAACTAAACAAATCAAGATCAACAAGTAGACTGAGAAGAAGGAATATTAACAAAAAAAGAAAGATTATAAATATAAACATCACAATAATTAATGATGCCAAAATATGGACCAACAATCTTGAAACTTTAGATGGTCCATGTACATTTATTGGCCTAGCTAAATAATTAAGGCTAAATAGGGGAAGCATGTAGTATTAGTATAAGCCCTACGTGTTATTTTAACCTAAATTATTAATTGTTTTTAAAGAAATGGCTGTTTATTTTTACAGCCTAACGAGAGAGTTTTTAATTAATTAAAAAAAGTGGTTTTTTAGTTGTTACGTACTTTGTTTTTTTTACAATGGAGTAGGCATGACAACAGGACGGGACGGGGCGGGTTTTATGTTTCCTGCCCTCGCTCCCGCAAATTTAAACCGTCCCTGCCCTCAATATCCGTTGGGGTAAAATTTGGGTACCCATCCTCGTCCCGGCGGGGTTCGGGTTTTCCTGCCCTGCTCTCGCCTCCGCTCTTATTATTATTATTTTCTTTTTTTTTAAATAAATATGAATGAATTTAAAAAAAATAAAAGAAAAGTAAAATAATATAAATTTTTACATATAAATATTTCTAATTTTGATTTTTATATATAAAAATAATTTTTAATTATATTATTAAGCGGGACAGAGATGGGGGCAAGGGCAGGGCGGGTATTAACATCCCCGTCCCCGTCCCCAATTTTATCAATCGGGAAAAACTCGATAAACACGAGTTTTTCCCGTCCAAATCGGGACGAGTTCAGGCAGGTACCCACGAGGACGGGTTAGATTGTCGTGCGAGTGTTTTTTTAGTTACGTAATTTACTGTGTAATTTAATGTCGATAGTCTTGAACTAGCTACTTCAAAAGTGCTTCACCAAATTATTTCATTCAACCAGTCAAACCTGTATAAGAAATAAGATCTTTTATATGCTTCACTACAATGACAATTAGTTCCCAAAACTGATATTTTGACTCTTGAGAATGTGTGTTTTACTTTCTCATTTGATATTCATGTTCAGCCCTGATTCACATTCAAAATAAGACAAAAGTAACTAATAGTTGTTCTGCGGATGCGCTTCCACTCTCACACATAACGCGTTACCAAACACAGGAAAACTCTTAAATATTATATGAATAGCCAAAAAAAGAAAATTCATGTTAAGGTAACAACTAGAGAATGCATTATTATTATTTTAATGGAACACGTAATATGTCTGATATGTTAGAGAAGGTGAGCGATATGATGAATAATATATAAAGAAAAAAGAGAGATTTTTTTTTAAAAATTAAGGATAAAAATAAGAACTTAAAAAAGTAAAAATTATTTGTCAGATTTATTTTTTAATTTAAAAGTTCCTTTTAAATTAAAATTGCTACCAGTGTTTGTTGGTTCGACTTTGACCCTTAAATCTGAGTTCGAGTCTTCAACTTGATAAAAAAAAAGACTCTAAGAATGTGGTTTATATGTCTAACTTAATCCTACAAAAACCTTGTAAGATGATAGAAAGTATTATTAAGCATTTAGGCTTGATATGGTGATAAATGATCAACGATTTTTTAATGATTTGGAATAGGCAGGACTTGAATTTTTCTAATAAACATCCTTACGTACAACACTATTGGACTTTGTGCATGTATCAAATGGTAGGTGACATTTTTAGAATAGATCTAAATTTGATACCAACTAAAATTTGGGTTATGGGCCTAATTTAATCCTACAAAATTGGCTTGTAAAGTGAGAAATTTTCCTTACTTATATGTTCTTTAATTGTCTTATTTCTAGTCGTTGTGAAACTTGAGTTTTTCTCAATAAAAAAAATCATGGGAAAGATAGCTTTAATGTAATCAAGATCTCGAGGGAAACTAGTTTTTGACAAAATTTGTAGGTACTCCTATCAATATAATAGTACCCAAACAAGAGTAATTAAAATTTAATTGATAAAGAAATTTCAAATCTTTATAGTTTTACTTAATTAAAAATTACATTTTCATCCCAATACTTTAGTGATTGATAGGATGAAAGCAAGTTAACTAACTGAGTACTGAAACTTGTTAGGGAGAAATCTTCTAACCTAGACATGTTTGATTAGAGTTGTCAAAATGAGTCAAATTTGATGGGTTAATCCAATTCATCATGTATCTGGGTTGGACTGGGTTAGGAAAAAAATTATATTGATTTTAGCTAAATTCCAACTGGTTCACTTAACCTGTGAGTCAAACGGGTTCGAATCTAAGTGAGTTGAGTTGATCCGTTTAACTTACTATTAAAAAATAAAAAAAAATATATTTATGTTTTATGTAATTTTTGTTTAAAATTTTGATTGGTATTTTTTCATGTATTTATATTTGAATCAATAATAGACTTGATTTCTGGAAACAAAGAATTATAGCTCTTTATTTTATTTATTAAAAATTAAAACATGAAATTATTTTTAATTTTTTTATTATTTTTATTTTAAAAAAATCTAGTAAACTAATCCGCTTAACCTACCAACTTGTGGTGGGTCGAGGCGAGTTGAAATTTTTCTTATTCACTACAAAATGAACCGAATTAGGTTGATCCATTTAAAGCAACAACTCATGGTGAGCCAACCCATGTGAACCTGGTTGATTCACTTTGACACCTCTATGTTGGATGTTTGGTTTTGATTATTTTAGAGAAAAAAATATTATTTTTAATGTCTTTTAATAAGAATTTTATCATAATATAATTTGAACACAAAAAAAAACTAATCC